TACCTTTGGGCAAATATTCTTACTGAATAATTCAGTTCTAGTCTTTGGATATTCCCATTAAACAATCGCCATGTTTCAATTCCGCATTTGCATCCGGAACTGCAAATGGGAAAAGTGTGCATTCAAATTCATCCTGAACAAATTTCTTCCAGTCCATAAAATAATCTAAAAATTTTTTTTTAAAGCCCTGTATGTCATGGATCCAACCTAAGGTGCCATCTCACCCCAATGGGGTTAACTCATCTCCAGTGGAAGGGGGCCTTCTGCAGATCCCATTGGCCAAGGAATTCTGTCTGATGGGATCAAGGAGAAGAGCCTTTTACGCTGTGAGCCTGCTCCTGTGGAACATTCTACCACCGGAAGTGAGAACTGCTCCCATCCTTCTGGCCTTCTGAAAGGGTATCAAAACCTTTAGGGCTTGGGGCCCCAAGGGGCTTCACCATTGGAAGTGATTAACAGGGTAACCTTGGAAGAATTTAAATTTGAAAGCATAGTAGACCTAATGGAAAGCTACGAAGAACCAACGCTGGATGGAACCAACAGAGAAATGGGCACCTGTGTCTGATGAAACCTGGGAAGTATGCATATCATTAAATACACTGCTGTATGCGTACAACAAGATCCAGAGACACTCTGAACAAATGAGGCCATCCGGTTGCTTCTGCTCTTTGCGATTGTGGTTTCATGCAGACAACAACACATACAGTTTGTATGCCATCCCTTTGTGCTCCAGACAGTGTACCCTTGAGGACCTCATGGCAACGCGCAGAACACAATTAATGTTGCTAGTTTCTGGGCAAGCTCTGTTTAAGTTGTACCTATTTTAATCTTGTATTTTATATTTTACATTTTATGTCATATAGTGTGCCTTATTGTGGTGCTTCTGACACAAATAAACAAACAATAGCATTGTCATTGTCAGTGTTTCTATATTTATCTTCTTTTATTGTTTATAAGATGCCCAGAGTCACCTTATCATTGAGAGAGGCAGTATACAAATTTAAAGGAATGAATGAATGAATAAATAAATAAATAAATATTTAATAAATAAATAAATAAATAAATAAATAAATAAATAAATAAATAAATATTGGATTGGCCATAGATCAGAACAGTGGTGAAATCCAATTTTTTTTAGTACCGGTTCTGTGGGCGTGGCTTGGTGAGCATGGTGTGGCTTGGTGGGCATGGCTTGGTGAGTGTGGCAGGGGAAGGACACTGCAAAATCCCCATTCCCTCCCCACTCTGGGGCCAGCCAGAGATGGTATTTGCCATTTGAGTATTCTCCGAACTACTCAAAATTTCCGCTACCGGTTCTCCAGAACCTGTCAGAACCTGCTGGATTTCACCCCTGGATCAGAACTTCTATTCTCATCCTGGGCTTCTTCTCTCATCTCACTACAATGTTGTCTTGAGATGCAAGAGGTATTTTGAAGCAGCAGCATCTTTTAAATGTTTAAATGTGGTTGTAAGTTATGAAAGTCCCCGAGCCTTTAGGGAGGGATCAATTTCTGTTTTCACAGCTACAAATGGAACCATTTCAAAATGCACTTATCAAGTTGCCATTTATCCTGCATTTTCTGTTGATGTTGTTAGCCAAACCCTCTCTCTTTAAATGGTAATTAGATGGCTCTGATAGTGATCTGCAGAAAATACTCCCTGGTAGTCTTCTGGGTGACTATCACTGGCAGTTTTATTACTAATTTGCAGTTGCCACTGGGCTTGTCTATAATTAAGTTACTAATGGACTGTCTTGGCTGAGCTGCTTTCTTCGAGTTTTATTTTTTTCCCCTTCCCTTGCCATTCTTTTTATGAAATCTTTTTTCATATGTTTGAGGATAAAGCTCTACCTCTGATCGCTCACCAACCTTTTAGGTATGTTTTAATTGTTTTCCAACTTCACACTCTTTGGTTCGCAACCGGAAAATGCCTCTGGGTAGAGATTTATATGATATTTACATACTGCTTTAATGAGACTAATGATTACACCTGCTTTAAGATAATATGTATTACTCGCTGCCAACCAGAAATACAATGATTGGGGCCAGCCTGCATAGAGGTTTGCTTTTGAAAAGATGTTTAATTTTGCAGTACTTTAAATAATGTTGCTTAAAATATTAATTATGGAAGTGCTCGACTGGGACATTTTATAATACAGAAAATAACTAGGCAGAATACCACGAAAGGAATTGCTTCATGAAAATACTTTTTATACCCCCAAACAGCTGTCCTAATATTAAAACCAGTTCATTAGTGTTGGTCAAAATTTGCTCAGGCAATTTGATTATTACTGAGAATTCTACAAGCTGAATTCTATTCAGTTGAAGCTCGTCCAGGGTAGCTTGATTCTCAAAATGGCTCACAAATAGTTTGAATAAATAATAAACAACATTTTGACACACAAAGCAGGAGTGAAATCCAGCAGGTTCTGACAGGTTCTGGAGAACCGGTAGTGGAAATTTTGAGCAGTTCGGAGAACCGTCAAATACCAGCGCTAGCTGGCCCCAGAGTGGGGTGGGAATGGAGATTTTGCAATAGCCTTCCTCCAGGAGTGGGGAGGGAATGGGGATTTTGCAGTATCCTTCCCCTGCCATGCCCACCAAGCCACGCCCACAGAACCGGTAGTAAAAAAAATGGATTTCACCACTGACACAAAGTAGTTCTTGATTTACATAGTAGAGCTTACCCATTATGTTCCTAAGATATACCACAGGTCAACCATGTGACTGACCCATTGTTTAATTTATTCTATTTATATGCCACCCATCTAGCTGTCCAAAACATTTTAGGATATGTCATTAAGTGAACAAGTGGTCATTGTTTGCTATGAGCCAGTTTTGCCTGTAATAAATGCTGGTTTTCAGCAAAAGTGTCATAAAATGAAGTCATATTTTGGGTTTAATAGGAAAAGACTTGGGGGGAAAAATTGGAACTTTGATGTTATATATGTTGACGGCAGTAAAGTCTACTCTACACCCAGAAATGGAAGGATATTTCGATCCCCACAATGGACAAATGGCTGCAAAAAATTGATGGAGTTAGCAGAGATGGCTAAATTGACTGCTTTTTCAAAGAAAAAAAAATACAAATGCTTTTATTTCTACTTGGAAACCACTTCTGGACTTTATGCTTGAGGTGGAAAAAAAATTAACCTTTGACATTGGCTTGTACCAATTAGATTGTTGTTATAGAAATGGCTAGTTTAAACTATTATGTAAAAGTAAAAAGTTGAGTTTTGATGTTAACGCCTTATTCTAAACCACCAAAGGGAGTCGGAAGTCAATGTCTTTTCTTTCTTTTTCCCCTTGTTTTCCTCACTCTTCCCTTCCCTTTTCCCTTCCCTATTTTTCCCATTATTTGCTTTTATATTTTCTCTGAATCGGGTGAAATCCAAAATTTTTTCCCTACCCGTTCTGTGGACGTGGCTTGGTGGGTGTGGCAGGGGAAGGATACTGCAAAATCCCCATTCCCACCCCACTCTGGAGCCAGCCAGAGGTGGTATTTGCCAGTTCTCCAAACTACTCAAAATTTCCGCTACCGTTTCTACAGAACCTGTTAGAACCTGCTGGATTTCACCCCTGCTCTGTATGCTACATTATAAACTAATAAACAAATTTTGCTGGAAAAAATGTAATCATGTGACTGCAACATGCTGCAAACCACTGCAAACAACCAATCCAGGCTGGTTGTTGAGTGCTCAAAATGGGATCATGTGACCATGGGGGAGTGGCAACCATTGGAATTTCAGAACTGGATTGTAAGTGACCCCAGGGACGTCTGTCCTGATTTTGAATAGTTGCTAAGCTACTGGTTGTAAGTCGAGAACTACCTGTAAGTATAGCCAAACTACAATGGTCTGTTTATTGAACAAAACAAAAACAAACACCGAAACACATCAGTTTGACATTTTATGAAAATTTGCAGTTTGCATGGCTCATTGGAACATTTATGTCTTATCGTGTGAAATTACTGACTGATTACGGATTTCTCCTCTGCATGAATGAAAAAAACAAACAAATCTGAAGAGCAAAATATTCCTTTCAATTTGAATCGGATATTTGTGAAACAAACACCTATAGATGAAATATTAAAGCTCGTGCAAAAAGTTAAGATGATCCCATTATGGAAAAGATAGGTGTGGCACTGTCCCCCTCATGTGTTTCTTCTTTGAAAGAGGAAATATAAAAAAAAAAATGCTGAATCACTCTGAAACAGCATAGTAAAATTGCACAAAGGGCAAAAAGACATCCTAGTGAAGAGTAAGGTTGATGGAGGTTAGGATACTCTTCTGAAGGACAAAACATTCCTAGCTACAAAAGGGATATGTGATTTATAGCTCATCCTCCTGGATGATGCTTGTAGACTTAGATTCATAGAACAACAGGTGAGCAAATTTCTGGAAAATCAGACAAAATGCACACATTCAATTTCTGAGCTTGCCAAAAGCTTAGTATTAACAGTAGACAATGTCTGTAATTTGGAAAATATGGCTACTTCCAGGGGTGAAATCCAGCAGGTTCTGACAGGTTCTGGAGAACCGGTAGCAGAAATTTTGAGTAGTTTGGAGAACCGGCAAATACCACCTCTGGCTGGCCCCAGGAGTGGGGTTGGAATGGAGATTTTGCAATAGCCTTACCCCAGGAATGGGGGTGGGAATGGAGATTTTGCAATAGCCTTCCCCCAGGAGTGAGGAGGGAATGGGGATTTTGCAGTATCCTTCCCCTGGAGTGGGGTGGGAATGGGGATTTTGTAGTATTCTTCCCCCAGGAGTGGGGAGGGAATGGAGATTTTGCAGTATCCTTCCCTTGCCATGCCCACCAAACCACACCATGCCCACCAAGCCACACCCACAGAACCGGTAGTAAAAAAATTTGAATTCCACCACTGGCTACCACTAACAGCATCGCTGATGAATTCAGGTGAATCTTTATATATCTGCTTTCATCTGCTTAAGGCAATCATTTACTCTTTTTTCTTGGTTGTTGTTTTCTTTTTTTTAGAAACATCCTTTATCGACTAGATGACAGGACACACCAATTCTCAGTACTCCTGGAGGCAGCAGAACACTGGAAGTTACATCAGTCAAACGAGACTCTACAAGCCATGTTGTCAAAAGTGTTCAACAGTTTCAATTCAGCTCAGGTTTGTTTCAAAGCAGGACTCGAGATCTTTGAGGCCACCTCAGTGGGAGACCAATGACGAACTTGGCTTTTTGGCATCTGCACACATGCCACTAAGAACCTTGTTTACATTTTCCAGAAGGCGACTTGGGATCAGACTTGAAATGATATAGGATTGAAATCTTTCTTTGGTTTTCTCAACTTTAAAGAAGGAATCCCTGTTTCAGGTAGTCCCACAGGTGCTTTTTCAAAAGGCAACTGGACTTTCTGGTTCCAGAAAGTCCATCTGCCTCTGAAAAAGCACCTTTGGGACAACTATGACCTGGATGACTCAGAATCTCCATAGACATTTGTTTCAAGATACTTTATAGTAGCCCTAGACCAGGGGTGGGCAAATATGGCCCCTTTATGACCTGTGGACTTCAACTCTCAGAATTCCTGAGCCAGCTTGGCTGTCTCAGGAATTCTGGGAGTTGAAGTCCACAGGTTGTAAAAGGGCCACAGTTGCCCACCCCTGCCCTAGACGATGCTAAAGCAGCCTTTTGCACTGTTGAGAGTTTATTGCATATTTCTATTTTTGGAATATGTACGTATGGGTAGCTATATATGTTTTGATAGATCAAGAATCAAATGAGGATGATTTGAAATTGGATAACTAGAAAAACAATTCCACACAGTTGATCCCAACGGGAAGAAGAAATTAAGGCTATTTTATCTTTCCTGTAACAACCTACTGCATTTCTAATTGCACACAGAAAAGGCATGAAATAATCCTTCCCATTTCCATTCACTTCCTATATGGAATACCTGAGCTTCCATCTGTCCCCTTATTTGCAATCATTGGTCACCTGTGGCTACTAGGTTTTTAAATATAAGGCCTCCATGCAAATGCATTGACTAGCATTTGCCTAATGTTGCCATTAGGTAGCAAAAACCATTTGTGAAACATTCATTCCAAAATATCTTGCCCTGTGGCACTGAATATTTCTGTTCAACAATAGCCAAAAAATCCCACCTATTTGTGAACAGGAGTCATCAAATTTGATAATATGTGGTTGGTCATGGATGTTTTCAGATTTCAGAACACCAGATTTACCAACACTTGATTGTTGAGTCACAAGTGAACTTTAATTGAACTGGTCCTCCTGCAGAAGACTCAAGATTGAACCGAGTGAAGAATGAAATGTCAGAGGTGTTTTCCTACAGGAAACAAAACAAATTAATATTTTCTTTTTATTTATGGACAATGGTCATAGTATCATATACAGATCTGAAAGAAAATTAGAGACCAGCCATTGTGAAAGAGGCAATAATCCATAACTTCACCCAGATAGGACCATGCCTGGTGCTCAACTTTTTCTTCACCATGTACTCCTTTTAAATACCTCTTGTGGCCATGGACCATGGTCACAGACTACCAAGACTTAATTCAAGATTAAGTATAAGGAAGTATATTTACCGAGCTCCTGTGATGACATCTCTGTCAGGTTTCCAAATAACACCCTCAACAAAAAAAGACTCCAAGGATTGAGTTTCTTCAAAGTTCCTTTTTATTGAAGAGATCACATTGGCACATCTGGGAAAACACGAATCTGAAAGTTTCCAGGTTTTCCCCATCCAAGTAAAAGTTCAAGTCCCTGCCCAGCACCTACATGTCCATCACATGATCCAATCATCCACCATCCAAATTGGAGTCACCTCCCAGGCATCCAACTCCAGGTGCCAGGGCAAGGCGTCCTTGATTCTCTGAGAAAGTAATGTTATTTTGACTACATATCATCCATACTCTATGCAATCTCCCCTCTCAATTTCCCACAGAGAAAATGGGGCTGGCCTGAAGGTCCAAATGTAAAAGATGGCTTCCAGGCCTGACAATCTCAGCCTCCCCAGGGTTCCGCAGACCACAGATTGAGAACCACTACCCTATGAGATATCCTAGACAACTATAGATGAAAAATAAGTTGCATAAATCAGGAAACTGAAATGAAAATGTGTCTTTGACAGCATTTTGCTGAAAATCTCCCAAGAAAAAAGTAAGGAATGAGTAAAAAGAGTCAAAGTGTTTAAATACTAAAACGGATGCAACTGAAAATATAGTATGCTGGTTTTTTTAACCAGAGCCAATAGACATTAAGGCATATGCTTTCCCATCAAAACCATAGTCTTCACTATGCATAACCTGAAAGCAAAAACTTTCTTTACTGTGTGACAGGTAATATTGCATTGCAAAGCCTTTATTAATTCAGAGGGAAGCATTAAGTGTATGCAGCTGCCTGGATTTGAAAGGAAAATGTTCTGCTTTTCCTCTTTCAGACTCAGAAAAGATGAGTTTAAGTTTCATTAAGTTTACTGAAAGATTGCGTGAACCCATAGCACAGTGTTCAGTCACATGTACGCAATCCCCAGAAAGCATCACTTAACTTGCCTGAACTATACATGTGATTCATGTTGATGGGAAAACAGGTTTTCCAGAGACTCCTCTTCAATAATCCAGGAAAAGTAGCAGAAGAGATAAATGTGACAGCTTGCATGCGTGCCTGACAGAGAAAGAGAGAGGGAGGGGCAGAAAATCACCCAGCCACACATCCTCATTCTTTGTAATATAATTTAAAGGAAAAACTCTTCTTGTTTCATTTTCGCTGAGGTAGGTAGGATCCTTCAGAATTCTGACTAGGAAGCTCAATTTAAATATAAATGAAATGAAGTTAAACTTATTTTTTCGTCCTGCTCTTCCCCATGCTACATATGGTATCCATCAAATGGTGCACTTAACTCAGAAAAGAATTGCGTAGCTTTCCCTTTGCTTTTGAGCACAATTCATAACCATGGGTATTCAGAAGCTAATTTCCATTGATTTCAATGATATTTTCAGCTAAGTAAGCATCCTTGAGCTTGCCTGCTTTAAATGAAATCTATTCTGAGGCTATTGGGGTGCCATCAATACAGCAGGATGCAACTAAATCATATTAGGCATCATCATTTGATTTTGTTTTGGTATTGCCTCAAATATAGATTCAAATTTCTCTTAAAATAATACTTCAGCAATCATCCAGATTCCTGAGGCATTCTTTATTGCTTTGTTATAGGTCATATGCTAGTATCTAGCAAAATGAATGCAGTAGTGAATAGTTCTAACAACCTTAATAGTTTATATATTTGTGTGTTTAAAGTGGATGAAAATGAAATTATAATAAGTAAGCTAACATGATTTAATTTAATTTAATTAATTCAATTTATATGCCGCCCCTCTCCGAAGACTCAGGGCCTACTGTAGAAGGATTCATAAATCATAAAAAAAAAAACACCTACAATACTTTCTGACAGAGAGAACAATCAACCAATGGAACAGAAGTTGCCTTCGGAAGTTGTGGGAGCTTCATCACTTGAGATTTTCAAGAAAAGATTGGACTGCCATTTGTCAGAAATGGTGTAGGGTCTCCTGCTTGAGGGGGGGGTGTTGGACTAGATGACCTATAACAGTGATGGCCATCATGTGCCAAAAGTGGGGGGAGTGAAGGGGGTCGCTCACGTGAGTGCCCACACCCGTAATTCTATGCGTCCCACCCCCTGCACATGTGTGTGCGATCCCCCTGCGCTCCACCCACTTTTGGCCCGTTTTCCACTCTCCCCAGGCTCCAGAGCCTTTCTAGGAGGCTGGGGAGGGCAAAAATGGCCTTCCCTACTCCCCTGGAGGCCTTCCGGAGGCCGGGAATAGCCTTTTTCCTGACTTCCAGTGGGCCCAAAAGGCCCAAAAATCAGCTGACTGGCACACGCATGCACGCCGGAGCTGAGCTCGCGTGCCCACTGATATGGCTCCGAGTGCCACCTATGGCACGCGTGCCATAGGTTCACCATCACGAACCTATAAGGTCCCTTCCAACTCTGTTGATCTGTTCTAGAACATCTGTTCAAATCAGACAAGTAATAAGTATACCAGAGAGTTGTGATTTGGCCACTAAATTCATGATAGATTGTAAATTGCTTTGAATAATTTAAGGGGGGAAAACTTAAAATCACCTGTTTATAGGCCACAACAGTCATAAAAACAGCCATAAGATATCTCTTCTTCATTCTAAAACATAAGGAAAAGGCCTATTTATCCACCTACCTACCTACTCACCCATCATAGGTGACTCTGTTTACGCAAGGGGCCAGCAAACCTTCACAGAAGCATAAATTGCTTTATTGATCAGAGGCTGGAAGCAAAGACAGACCTCAAGAGGCATTGCAGTCCCTTTTTATAAATGTTTGCAAATTAACTACAATTAATTTGTCTTTGATTCATTGATTGTGTTTCAGCATATATGCATTAATGGCTGCCGGAATAGGTCAGGATAGGTATGTAATGGATTTTTATACTAGATACTTTTGAAAAACAACAGGTCAAAGAAATTACATCCAAAATTGGTCTATTCCTCTAACAGCAAGTTATATCTTAATCCTTTCTTGGCCTAGTTTGCATACCTGCAGCTTGCACTTTGATTAACTTAACCAAATGTAAGATTCTGAGTATTCCTAGTGCCTAATTACAGTAGTGGCCAAAATTGTGGAAACCTTTCAGGGGGGGGAGTGTATTTTTGAGGTTTGGTGTCTAATAACACCACTTTTGGAGGGGAAGTTTCAAGCTAATCCTATTCCACTGCTGGAATGGCCTGGGAATAGCCCAGACCTTAACCCCATTGAAAATCTATGAAACCGACTAAAGAAACTTGTTAGTCAGAAGGGATCCAGCAATAAAACCCATTTAATAGAAGCAATCCTTCAATCTTGGTTTCACATTATAACAGCTGCAGAACTAAAAGACTTGATTCACTCCATGAGAAGATGTTGTAAGTAGTGGTTTTTTGAATTTTGAATTTCAAAATTTTTTACTACTAGTTCTGTGAGTGTGGCTTGGTGGGTGTGGCAGGGGAAGGATACTGTAAAATCTCCATTCCCTCCCCACTCCAGGGGAAGGTTACTGCAAAATCCCCATTTCCTCCTAATCAGCTGGGACTTGGGAGGCAGAGAATAGATGGGGGCGGGGCCAGTCAGAATTTTTACTACCGGTTCTCCGAACTACTCAAAATTTCTACTACTGGTTCTCCAGAACTGGTCAGAACCCGCTGAAACCCACCTCTGGTTGTAAGGCCATAATTCATGCTAAAGGTTACCCAACTAAGTATTAACTGACATGGTGATCATTTTTGTATATCTCGTTTTTTTCTATGGTGATAATTTTTGTACATTTCCTTTTTTTCTACATGTTTCACTTTTCTTCTTTATACTGTAACTGCTATTCTAATAGCAAGTTCTTCATAAAAGTTATTGCATTACATTCTTGATTAAATTATCTTTCTATTGATATATAATTTTATGGTACTACTCAAAAAAAAATGGTGTTATAAGCTAGTTTTAGAAAATACAC